ATTTGGGCAAAATTTGGGGGGGGGGGGGGGGGTTTTAAAGGGGGGAAAAACGCCCAAAAAAAACCCTTTTGGCCAGACAAAGGGGGAGCCCGGTTTGGGGGGGGGGGGGGGCCCCCCCCCCCCCCCCCCCCGTCCGCTACTGACCCGTTGCCGCATGCTATTTTATTTTTATTTTATTTTTTTCTCTGCCGCCTGTTGTGGCAAAGGTGGCCACTCTGGGCGGCCGCAGCAACGTTGCGGTCGCCGGGTTCACCGAGTCGAATCCCGAACCGTTCAAGCCCAGGTGGAAGGTGAGGAGACGGTTTGGTTGAGGATGTGTTGGTTCGACTTACCGTTGCTTTGGGGAGTTGGGGTCGGACTGCGGATGAACGGCGCCCGCGCTTAAGAACCCGTCGTTTTGGCCAAGGTTTGGGGGTTGTTGTTTGCTCTTGGGGGGTGCAAGACAAACGGCCGCTGTGTAGTGGAGGGGTTCTAAACCGAGTCCGCGAGCGGCTCTCAAAAGTTGTTGTTGTTAGTTTTTTTTTTTTTTTTTCGTCTTCACTTCCAATCAGCGCTCACGGCACTTACTTTTGCCGTTTACTCCAACCAGTGGTCACACAGAAGGAACTCCTCTCCCTACTCACCCTCTCAAGTTGTTAGCTTCGGTAAATGTTCAGCATCAAGCTCTTGTGCTCGATAAAGTGTTGAGCGTGTAATTATTTTTAGTGCAGGCGCTAAATAGCTGTAGTTGACTGAGAGTTCCTTCTGAGAGGTTGGGGTCGAACTTTAGCAATTTTGCACGCTCACATGTGTCTTCGTTGTTGTGGGACGGACAGCCAGACACATCGAACTTGACGGTCTCTTGCGTTGAAATAAATAAACACGCTTCCGCAAACGTATCGTTTGAATTCTTGCACCCTCGCTTCGCCGTGGATTAAGTAATCGAGCTTTGAAAGTCGGTCCAGGGCGTGTGGTATCTTACGTCATGTCACCTACGGTAGTGTACTTGTCGGGCCTGGTGTGAATTCCCACCCCGTCTTGATTCTAGGATCATTCTTGGGAGGGCCTGGTTGGTAGCCGGCATGATTAGCCTTTCTTTTCAGTTGCTTTTTCGTAGCCACCCCCCTCTCTTTTTGTTGTGCTTATCTGGGTACCCCCCCCCCCTCCTGTTCTTATTTCTTTGCCCCACTC